TGTCCATGAGATGGAAGAAAAGTTTCATGTACCACTTGTAACTCTTACGAACACAGTCAGCAAAACCAATCTGCATGTCACACTTGTCAACCAAGCGCATGTTTTGTGTATAATCAATCACTGACACTGGTTTTTGAATACGTTCATTAGTCACTCGATCAACTTTGCCACTGTCTTGCATTTTATTACGGTGAATGGTTGTCAACAATGTGATATCTCGTTTGTCATGCCACCGTAATGCCATGTTGTCATTGGCAGTAAACACCTGCACGTCATCACAACTAACAACTGCGTTGAGCCTGGGCATATGTTTACGATTAGAACGCACTGTGCCACACACACATCTGTCTTGTTCACTCGCATGAAATCACTGAGTAATGGGCTTGTGTACCAGTTATCGGTATATAATGTATGGCCCTTACCAAGATAAGGTGCCATCATGTTTCTCACTACGTCACCTGAGATACCCAATAACATCTTTTTATCTTTCAATGTTTTACTACCCGTGTATACAATAATATCCAACACCAGGCCACTGTCACAATCACAGAGTACAAACAATTTTATACCAAAGCGGTTCCTCTTGCTCGGTTTATACTGCTTGAATGACAGTCTACCTTTGAACAAAATCAAAGACTCGTCAATTACAAGATTCTTGAATGGATAAAAGTATATCCTGAACTTTTGTTTGAGATACATGAAAACATTTCTAATCTTGTATAACCTGTCACTTCTGTCAGGCCTGGTTTTGTCAGAGAAGTGCAACATACGTAACAGTAAGATAAACCTGTTCACTGGTATTATTTCACTGAAGGATGGGTAGAAATTAGCCGATCTGTGACCAGTATGCTTTTATAATTATGCTTATAGACGTGAGGCATAAGCATTATTGTTGCAAAAGCAAATACATTTCTGCAACAGCGTCCCTTTCCACCTGGTAGTCTTGACTGTGTGATAAGATCGTATTTGCCATGGTGTACTGAAAATACTTATTACTTTCCCTGGCAATAATTTCCATCAATGGCTGGTCAAAGAATAATTCAAAGAATTCCAGTTCATTGGCCGTGGTTCCAAGGGGACAGGTAGGTAGAATTCCACTTTGAGAGTCATCAAAGTGGTGAGGCTTGGGAACAAAATTGGGATTTTGCTGCCAATCCCACATACGGTTTTGTGGTGGATACTGGACATCATAGGCTGGTTGTACGGGTGGTTGTGGTTGTGGCGGGCTGGTGGCTGACGCTCCGCTTTGTCCTTGAACTGACGAGTCAGCAGCGTGGGTCCCCGCGTGGCACGGTGAGTCACGCATGGCGGTGCCACAACCACCACCAGCACCAATAACACCATCCACTGATGCCTGTGGCCCATCCATGCCAAGTGTAGCCACATCATCCTCACTATCACTACCTAAAACAGGTGTAGGGCCACGGGATGTACTCCGGGATGTACTCCAGGATGTACTCCATCCCCTGGGCACAGCATAGGGTACACTACCCGAGTGCATGTGGCGGCGAACATACCGACGCTTCACTGGTGAATATGATTCCTCACTATCACTACTCGAATGATCGTCGAGCGCAATAAAATCACAATCCACGTCAGAATCATCGTCATTACTGAAGTCAGAGGCCTGGCCACGCGAAAATATTAGTTTTCTCTTACGTTTAGGAACACCCGACCGTGAGTCACGAGTGCCCACACCAGAGGTTGAAGGTCGAGGATCGTCGGGGTTTTCTGCACTATTATCGATATCCTGGTCATTATTTTTGGTCACTAACTTATCAAAGCCGTAGAATTCGTCTTCATTTGCACTTCCATCAGTGTCAGAACTATCAGACAGGAAGAGGAGAGTCCCAATTTTCCGGGGAGTGAGAGCTGACTTGCGACGAGGCATGGTGAACAAGGGTGACTGAGCCGGCGTTCCCACAATGCTATGCAGGCGCCTAGATTTTTTGTTTACGGCGCACACCCACGGCGCAGACCCATTCTCTCACATGTAGGCCTATGAGCGCTTTTGCGCTAAATTTGACGGCGCTAGAATTTTGGCATAGATCTACGGTTTGGACACTCACCGAAAAGCCTTAGATCTACGGGACGGACCCTGAAAGGGTTAATACGTTCCAGAAGGTCGGCAGAAAACCGATTTGTGTGAAAACTGTAGTAGTATTTCCCATAAGAAATAATGTAAATCCAATTAATCCATTCCAGACACCCAAAAATATTAACAAAAAATACATTTTATAGAGAATAACTATAGTTTTACATACAGAAAACAATGAGAAATAAATGTAAAGCACTTATGAAATGGATAAATGAACATATCCTAGGTAGTAGGTTGGTAGACAACAACTGCCCAGGACGGTACTACCGTCCTGCCAAGTGAGTGTAAAACGGAAGCCTGTAATTGTTTTACATGATGGTAGGATTGCTGGTGTCTTTTTTTTTCTGTCTCATACACATGCAAGATTTCAGGTACATCTTGCTACTTCTACTTACACTTAGGTCACACTACACAAAACATGTACAAGCTTATATATACACACCCCTCTGGGTTTTCTTCTATTTTCTTTCTAGTTCTTGTTCTTGTTTATTTCCTTTTACCTCCATGGGGAAGTGGAACAGAATTCTTCCTCCGTAAGCCATGCATGTTGTAAGAGGCGACTAAAATGCTGGGAGCAAGGGGCTAGTAACCCCTTCTCCTGTATATATTCCTAAATGTAAAAGGAGAAACTTCCGTTTTTCCTTTTGGGCCACCCCGCCTCGGTGGGATACGGCCGGTGTGTTGAAAGAAAGAAGGAAATGAACATATAAATCACTTGTACCTTTATTGAAGACTCTTGTTGGCATGTGGAAGATGGCGAGGAGGAGAGAGGGAGGAGAGGTTATCTCTACCACCATCACTACCACCCTCTACCACAATCACTACCTCCATCAATACTACCCTTTACCACCATCACTACCACTCTACCACCATCACTACCACCCTCTACCACCATCACTACCACCCTCTACCACCCTCTTCCACCATCACTACCACCCTCTTCCACCATCACAACCACCCTCTACCACCATCACTACACCCTCTTCCACCATCACTACCACCCTCTACCACCATCACTACCACCCTCTACCACCATCACTTCCACCCTCTACCACCACCATCACTTCCACCCTCTACCACTATCACTACCACCCTCTACCACCATCACTACAACCCTCTACCACCATCACTTCCACCCTCTACCACCATCAGTACCACCCTCTTCCACCATCACTACCACCCTCTACCACCATCACTACCGCCCTCTTCCACCATCACTGCCACCCTCTACCACCATCACTACCACCCTCTACCACCATCACTTCCACCCTCTATCACTACCACTCTCTACGAGTAACAAAAGCAGACTGAGTCACGAACGTATAAGCGGCTGCGTCTCACGGGCAGGCGGATGCGTCTGGTATGGATGATTTCTGAGCAGATGTACAAAAACGGGGAAAATTTTGCTGAAAAAAGTGGTTGAAAACTGAATTGTATGATAACCGGACCAGACGAGAACTGGAGTTCCACTGTACTACTGGGTGGCTATAGTTCAAAGATTAGGAATTGAAATTAAACTGAAGTAGGAGACATATTTAGCTAAAAGGTGTGAGACAGTAATACAAGAATTCTTTCATAGGTGAGTAGGTATGATTTTGATCTGGGTGTGTTCCTATTAGGTCATCGGTCCCATATATTGAAACTTGGTTTTCATATTTCAAAACCATATGCAGAACTCTATTATAGCAGATGCTCTTCTGTATTATTTGTAATAATTTGCATAATAAACATGTTTGGCTTCTGGTTATGCTGTCTTGATAGAAGTAGTTAACCCTTTGACTGTTGCAACCCCAAATCCTGAGGTGTCTCCTGGTGTTGCAAAATATTTGAAAAAAGAAAAATTTCTCATGAAATGATAGAGAATCTTTTCTCGATGGTAATGCCACCAAAAGTAGGAAATTTAGTGGAAAACTTACGGAATTACACTCGTGAAGTTAGTGACCTTGGCGATATTTACGAATGGGCGATTTCACCCATTTTGAGCACTATTTTCAGCTAATTCCATTGTACCAGTCGACCAAACTCATAACTGTATCTTTAGAACTCCACTTGTTCTGTTGATAGAGTACAAGAAACTGCCCATTTGCTGATTTCAAATACCCAATAAAGTGGTCAGAAATTGGCAGTTTGGCCAATTTCATGCAAATTAAAAAATATGCTAATTTCAAAATAGGGTCCAGAATGAACAATGTAGACATTCCTAGCTCTAAAATAACATTTTCTTTGTTTACCAGTCACATCTCCAGGCCCCTCTGATATTACTCTTGCTTTCTATTTTGAATTTTTATTCAAACAAAAAATAGAAGATTTACTGTTATGCAGACTACTGCAATATTGTAATAATTGTATAAATAACATCAACCCATTCATGACTGCATATTAGAATGGTTAGTTGGACATTTATTGGACAATGACATCATTTGTTTACTTTTGAACATTGGCAAAAATCAAACATTTCCCCTATTTTCAGCTCCTTTCAAGGTCCTTTTCAAGTAAAACCAATCAAAATCACATCTATTTCTATGATATGTTTTCCATTCTGTCAAATGTGACTACGAAAAGGAGAATATAACCATAAAAACTATACAAAAATACACCTCAAAGTTGGTGTTTTAATCCAAAAACATGGTCGGAGTTTTTTTTTCTCATTATGCACTGGGTGCTGCAGAACTCTTTTTAAATGGTGCACACCAACCACACAGACCCATTCTTTCACATGTGGGCCTACCAGCTTTCTCCTGCTTGATTTGAAGCCACTAGAATTTTTGAGTATATATACATCAAACACATTGGCTCGTATGACGTATATATATGACCGAAACAGTCAAAGGGTTAATATTTATACATGATCATTATTTTTGTATAACTAATTCTTTAATGTGTTATAATACATGGCTTACAGACCCTAAACTGAAAGAGCTTGGAGAATCTCATTATGATCAACTGGTGATGTGGTTCAAGGAGCGTTTAGATGATGCTATTAGAGCTGCAGAAGAAGAAAAAGCAGATAATGCTACAGTTTTCTCAGATGGTAAGGGATCTCCTGGTATGATCTATCAGCACTCGTGTATTAAAATCATGCTTAGAAAATTATCTAATATTGGCTTCATTTTTATTTTGTTATTGTTTCTATGGGTTAGGTACAGTATATTTTTATTTATTGCCATAATGGGGTACCACATTTTCTTGGTGCTTTATCACAGTGGCTCACTAATGTTTTTTTGAATGACTTCATCTCTTTATTATCACTGGTGCACATTTCCATCTGTTGGTCAAATAGTGAACATTTGGCAGTATACAATGACAAATGCTTATTTTCAAACAGTATGCATTTAATTAGAGCTACCTTGATCTGCTTTTGTTATAATCACTCCAAAAATATATTCAGTTAAAAAAATGCAAAACCCATTAAAATGCTCGGCAGTAAGGTTATTTAGGTACAGGTACATAACTACAGAGTAGGTAGCGACATCTGTTGTCTTTATTCTCATAAAATCTTACTACTAATACTGTTTTTATTGAGTTCTCCTTTTCTTCATCCCTCACTTCCCAGTGCTCATTAACCAGTCAGATATAAAACATTTCTATGATATGAGGAAAAGATACACATGTACTCATGCAGGACAAATTTTTGGTGGGGCAATGTTTTGATCTGTTTTAAGATCTTAATCAAGTTATACAGGAAATACAAAATGCATGCAAATATGCAGTATACTCCTGGAAATGAAGGAAGAGGTGAGATGAGTAAAATCACTGGAGTTTGACAAAACTTGGGTTGGTGAAGCACCGAGAGAGGTATAATGGACAGTTGTTGAACTGTCATCTGGTTTCTGGTCTGCCAGGTATGTCCCTGTAGTATGAAGTATATCAGTGGTCTAGCTAAGCTAAATGCACCTTGGCTCTGTTCAGTAGTATCCTGTGTACTAAATAAAACAGTTTCCATACATCTGGCCTTGTCCCTTTCTTTGATGGAGAGTCTAGCATTGCGCTGTGCCATAAGGTGTGATTGTATTCATATGAACTATGTATGGACTGTTGGTATTCTGGTTTAGCAGCGTATTTGTGTTCGTAAACTTTGGGGTTCAGATATCTTGAGGTTTCAGTAATGTACTATTTGTCACAACCATCACAGGAAGTGGTGTGTATCGTGGGAGTAATGTCCTGGCTGTCATCTTGTTCTAGTAAAACCTTTAATAGTTTTGAAGGTGCTATCAGCATTGGTTCCACCTTTTTTTGACTTGTGTGTGTAATGATATCTACAGTGTTATCTGTGGAAAAATTATCCTTTTTTCACCATCACCATTCTCTTTGGGTGATGACAGTATTTTCTGAACCCTTTGTCTGTGGTCCTGAGTGAAATGTAAAGGATAGTGGAGTGTGGCAAATATGTTACTAATAATGCAGCATTCATCTTCTAAATATTCAGGGTTGTGGATTCTGTAAGCTCTCAGAAAGTGGTCAGACAGAGCTCCTTGTTAGTAGCCTTGTGGTAGACTGTAAATTTGATTTGTTGTGCTAGTTCAATGAGCTGGACATCAAGAAATGGAAGAGCATTATCTTTTTGCTGTAACATACTGAATTGGGTTACAGGTTCAGTTGTGTTAAGGCAGTTTATAATATTTTCAGGTTGAGGAATCTGGGTGTGATTATGAAGATATCATGTTGGAGAATTGTTTTATTGCTGTGGAGGGCTTACTCTATTTATTTGTTCAGTTATATGTCCTCTATTCTTCAGTTATACAGTACAATTATCTCACTTTAACAGACTATTAAGAAAAGCAGGCAATCAGTAATGGTGATTGTGGTGGATAGAGATGAGTGTTTGCTATGATTATAACAATAAACATTCTGAACTTTGTTAATTTTGAATCAGTTGACCCAGTGGATTTCATCCTGTATTTAATAAGAAGCATGTTACATCAGGCGTTTACTGTACTTCAAGTACCAAAAATGTGTCCATTAACCCTTTCAGGGTCCGTCCCGTAGATCTACGGCTTTACGTTCAGTGTCCAAACCGTAGATCTACGTCATGAGCTCAGCTCACTCTGATAAACTGTGAGTGGTAAATTTGGGCCTAGATATGAGAGAATACATCTATGTGGTATGTGTGCACCACATAAAACAAATCCTGCAGCACACTGTGTATAATGAGAGGAAAAAAACTGAGACCGTGATTTTCGATTAAAACAGCGACTTTGCAGTGTTTTTTCGTATGTTTTTATAGTTGTATTTGTGATTTCTTGGTCTCATTTGATAGAATGGAAGACATATTACAGAAATAGAGATAATTTTGATTGGTTTTAGCACTGGAAATGGCTTGAAACTGAGCTCAAAGTGGCGGAAATGTTAAATTTTTGCCCATGTTCAAGAGTAAACAAACGACCTCACACGTCTAATACACACCAGCTGGTGGGTCTAATATACATTCATAAATGTGGTGATGATATTTATACAATTATTACAATATTGCATAACAGTAAATCTTCTATTTTTTGGTGTGAATAAAAAATCAAAATGGAATTTATTTGTAAAGCCTCAAAACGTAACTAATGAACAGAGGAAATGTTAGTTTAGTGCCAGGAATACCTACATTGTTTATTCTGGATCCTATTTTGAAATTGGAATATTTTGAACTTTATGTTAAATTGGCCAAATTACCAATTTCCGGTCACTTTATTTTGTAGTTGAAACAGTTGACTTGGCGATTTCTTGTGCTCAATCGATAGAATAGAAGTAATCCTAGTGAAATAGCTAAGAATTTGGTCGACTGGAATAATGTAATTGGCCTAAAATGGGAGTCAAAGTCGGCAAAATCGCCGATTCGTAAATATCGCTGACACATCAAAATTCACGAGAGCATAATTTTGTCAATTTCCCATCAAATTTCGTACTTTTTGTTTTATTACATTCACAAAAAGATTCTACCATTTCATAAGAAAAAAATAACAATTTTTTTTTTTGAAAATTCTTGGACACTGGGGCACCACTTCAGATTTTGGCCTTGGACCCTGAAAGGGTTAAGAGAAATTGTTGCTGATAGTGTATAAAGTAGTTGTAGTACCTCTTACCTTATTATAATTGTTGTATTTGTAATTTATTATTTGGCACATTTCTTTGCTTTAATCAATTGTGGACAAATTTCTTGTATAATAATACTTTTGTTGCAGTATAAAATTGTATTTTTGAGCCTCTCTTATTCATAATGATAACAGGATAAAAAAGAACAATTAAATGCAGTACATTGTTGAATAGTATGATCTCTTCATGAAAAACTGTTTACCAGTGCTTATGTGTAATATGTTTTTTCTTAATTGCAGTCTACCCCAAAATCACATTTTCATTTTATGTCATTCACCTTTTACATTTAGTTTTCATTTTCTTCCCCTCAGGCAAGGTCCTAACCCTGTCCGGGGTCACAAAATTCCTCACGCCATTGGTGAAAGGTGTGTAGAATACAAGATGGTGGAATCCATATGGTGACTACGTTAAAGTATTGGCTATAGTTTTATGATTGGATAGCACTCAAAAGTTGACTGGTATTCTAGGAAAGGGGGTTCATATTCTTCCATCCTTTGTACATGAATGGTATACAGTACCAGAGAGTTGAAAAATTAGTCACATGTGCAACATCTACAAATAAAGATACCCAGATGTTGCACACGAGTCTAATTCTTCATCGTCCATCCTTTGCAATTTGAATGGTTTATATAATTATGGAAAATTATAATAGATTTCAAAATCTAACATAAAGTAACATGCAAGTCCCTTTCCTTAGAACACCAAAACTCTTGAATTTAAACGTTTTGTGTGTTCTTTGCCTTAGAAATTACCAAGAAAAGGTTTTATTTTGAAACTTTTGAACATTTTTTATTAACCATGTGAGACTGGTTCACCCATTTCATTTTATTTAACAAAACTGGAATAAGGTTAAAAGACTCATAACCCGATTCGGTTTTACAAACTGTAAGTGTGTGTTGCATATAGGAATACAGATCACTTGCTAATCTAAAACCACATTCTTGGTAAATAGATTAATACTTGAGAGACTAGTATCAATAATGTCAGTTTAAAAAATTTGATATATATTATGGTGCTACCAAAATCTTGCATTCTGCACACTGCCTTTGCATAATTGTAGCTTGTTCCAATATTGTTGGTTGTGATAAACTTAATTTTTTTTTTTTTATGCATTGGCCTTTTCTCTTGAGGGCAGGTAACCCCCCTTCCCCAGAAAAATGGAATGCATTATTTATCTAATTTATTTATTACAGTGGACCCCCGAGTTTCGTGATTAATCCGTTCCAGAGAGTCTGCAGAATGTCAAAATTGCCGAATGGCGAGATTATTTTCCCCATAAGAAATAATGGAAATAAAATTAATCCGTTCCAGACACCCAAAAATATTAAATTAAAATATTTTTTTTTCAAATTAAATAAAGATTTACATACTGAAAACAATGAGAAATCAAGTACATACATATATAAAATAATAACATTACACTTATTTTTACTGAAGACTTCTGGGTGGATGGAAGATGGGAGGAGGGGATAGGAGGAAGGTGTACACTATTATTTGGAAGGAGAATCTCCTTCCATTAGGACTTCAGGTAGCAAGTCCTTTTCTGGGGTTACTTCCCTTCTTCTTTTAATGCCACTGGGAACAACTTGAGAGTCACTGGACCCCTGTCGCACAAAATATCTGTCCAGAGAGGTCTGTTTCTGGCATTTCTTTATGATTTGCTTGAAGTGGGACAAGGTTTTGTCACTGAACATGTTGCAGATATGGCTTGTTTCAGCTTGGTCAGGGTGATACTTTTCAACAAAACTTTGCAACTCATTCCACTTTGAACACATGTCCTTAATCACCGAAGAAGGCACCTCCTTCACTCTCTTTTTCTCCTCCTCTGAAGCAAGCTCCTCAGCTGTGGTCTGATGCTGTTCCAGTTGAAGCTCTTGCAGTTCGTCAGTGGTTAGCTCTTCCCTGTGGTCCTCCACCAACTCTTCCACATCCTTGCCACTCACCTCCAACCCCAGGGACTTCCCCAATGCCACAATAGATTCCACAACTGGCATAGGCTCGTTAGGGTCAGCCCCAAACCCTTCAAAATCCCTCTCTTGATTTCCTTCTTGAATTTGATTGTGTTCCTCGCTTTCTTTAACAAAGGGCTTGCACTAGCTTTCCTTGGGCCCATGGTGATTTATTTAGCAGTTGCAAGCACAAAAAACAATGGATTATTATGAAATATATGAACCCGCAGGGTGATGGTCACGTGCTGGTAAACAATGGCACACTGAGTGTGAATGGTGCGGGAGACTGGCTTTGTGTGCGCGGTGATGGGCAGATGGATACCGGACGGTCGCTGAATCAGGAGTCCAATCACGAACCGCAAGGCTAAATTTTGCTGAAATAACTTGCTGAAAGTCGGATTTCACGAAAGTCGATGCCGACGAAACTCAGGGGTCCACTGTATTTTATTAACTCAGTGGCTGTCTTCCACCAGGGCAGGTTGATTCAAAGAACATTCACCATCTTTAATTCAGTTGCTGTCTTTGCAGAAGTGTATCATTTATTAATTTATTTATTAATTTGAACATGATACATAGAAGTACAAGGAAATACAGTGATTAAATGTAACATGCCAAAGCCCCTTGTATGCAGAGCATTATGGGCAGGCTTAAAATTAACTTAAGATTAACTATGCAATGATATATTCAGTGGTAAACATTGTTGTAAACAGTTAACAATTAAGCACAAATGAGTATTTCAAAGAGAGGTCATTAGGTCATTTACTGTGTTGCTGTGCATTCAGTAGAATGGAGTATTCTGTTAGATAATGTAATTAAAAATAGCAAAGTTTGATTGGGTCGCAGGTTAAACATTTATGAGATACAATTATTCAGTATTTATTTGGTTGTGGGTGAGTAAGTAATTTTTAAGAAGAGACTTGAATTTATAAACAGACAGTGTTTCTTTTATATTCACAGGTAGTGAATTCCAGATTTTTGGGCCTTTTATGTGCATTGAGTTTTTGCATAGTGTGAGATGGACACGAGGAATATCAGAGAGTGATCTGTGCGTTGTGTTCTGGTCATGTGTTCTGTTTAGGTTGGTAAGGAGACGTTTGAGGGGAGGGTTTATATCCGAGTTAAGTGTTCTATGTATGTAGTAGGTACAAAAATAAGTATGGATGTTTTGTATGGTGAGTAGGTTTAGAGTTTTAAATATTGGTGGAGTGTGCTGCCTGTAGTAGGAATTTGTTGTCATTCTGACTGCAGCCTTTTGTTGGGTAATTAATGGTCTGAGATGGTTTATTGTTGTTGAGCCCCATGCACAAATTCCATAGGTGGGATAGGGGTAAATAAGCGAGTGATATAGGGCCAGGAGGGCTGATTGTGGAACATAGTGCCGTATCTTTGATAGTATGCCTACGGTCTTGGAAATTTTCTTGGACATTTGTTGTATATATGTTTGAAATTTGAGTCTATTATCAAGGTGGATTCCTAAGAATTTTCCCTCTGTGAGCTTTGTGATAGGTGATCCGTTTATCATTATGTTAAGAGGGACATCTGTAGCTCTGTTACCAAACTGAATGAAGTAGGTTTTGTCAATGTTGAGAGTAAGTTTGTTGGTCCTCATCCAGGTAGATATATTCTGTAATTCGATATTCACAGTACTGTATTGGCTAGCATGACTGGGCTCGGGAGAGACAAGACGTATGTACAGTGGACCCCTGGTTAACGATATTTTTTCATTCCAGAAGTATGTTCAGGTGCCAGTACTGACCGAATTTGTTCCCATAAGGAATATTATGAAGTAGATTAGTCCATTTCAGACCCCCAAACATACACGTACAAACGCACTTACATAAATAACTTACATAATTGATTGCATTGGGAGGTGATCGTTAAGCGGGGCTCCACTCTAGTGTCATCTGCAAATAGTGTGGGTTTGAGTAGTTGCTATGCATTTGGTAGGCCATTTATGTAAACGAGAAAGACAAGAGGGCCAAGGACACTTCCCTGTGGGACACCAACTGTAATTGGCTGTGCGGAAGAGTTTGCTCCATTTGTGTACACATATTGGCTTCTGTTGCTGAGGTATGACTAGGTAGTTGAGGGAGTGCCCTCTTATACAATAGTGCGACAATTTTATGTGGAGCAAGTCATGGTCAACTGTATCAAAAGCTTTATGTAAATCAATGAAGATTCCCAGTGGGACTTCTTTTTTCTCTAGTGCAGTGTATATTTGTTCTAGCATGTGTATAATAGCATCGTTAGTATTTTTATTAGGCCTGAACCCAAACCGACAGGGGTTGAGTATGTTGTGGGAGATGAGATAGGAATAGATTTGCATATGAATTAATTTTTCGAAGATTTTAGAGAGAGGGTGCAACTTGGATATTAGCCTATAGTTATTCAAGTCTGTTTGGTCTCCTCCTTTATGGATCAGGGTGACCCTCACTATTTTGAGAACTGTAGGGAAGGTAGAGGATTTGAGGGATTTGTTAAAGAGTGTTGCAATGATTGGTGACAGCACTTGCGACGCTTTTTTGTATATAAAGGGTGGTAAGGTATTTAAATCTCCTGTCTTTTTTTTTAGTGTGTTGATAATAAGGGAGACTTCTGTTGGGTTAGTTGGAGCTAGGAACAGAGTGTTCAGGTAGTTGCCAGTAAGGTAGTCATTGGGTGGAGTATTTGAGCTTGGGATTTTATTGGCAAGGTTTTTTCCTATGGCGGAGAAGAAATCATTGAGTCTGTTTGCTGTTTCAGTTGGTGGGAGTTGGGGTTCATCTGGCTTTGTTAGTTCAATTGTGCCGTTTCATGATATATTTTTTGTTCCTAGAATTTCTGATAGGGTTTTCCAGGTCTTTTTTATATCACATTTTAAGTTGGATAATCTGTTCTCATAATACAAGTTTTTTGCCATTCTTATCAGGCTGGTTAGGATTGACGAGTAACGTTTTTGTTTGGTCTCTGGTTATGTGACCCATTCTGTACTGTTTTTCGTATAGGTGCTTTGTATTTATGGATTTGAGGATGCTGGGTGTTAGCCAGGGACTGTTCAGTCTCTTAACTGTCATCTGTTTAGTTTTTTTTTGGACAGTGCTTGATTTATAGAAGTATTGGGTCTTTTTTAGAAAATTATTAATGCTTTCGTCAATATCTGTATAGATTTCTAGCTCAGTGTGCCAGTCAATGTTTGTCACTGCTGTTGTGAAGTCATCACAGTTCAATTACCTTCTGACTGCAACATCTCCACCCCCTCCTTCAGAATGCAGATACTGTCCTTCCTACCTCTAGGACTCAAATCTGGCTAACCACTTTCACCTGAATGTCTTCATAAAAGCTGCTATGATCACTCTCCAACATGTCCATTAAAGACCACTTGTCTCCATTCACTGTGAATCAATTTTTGGAAGACAGTTCTATCAAAGATGAGGTTA